GATTGTCCTTTCCTCGGATTTTAATTATGGAAACAGTTCCAGAAACTAGACAAAAAGTTATTTCTAGGGATGTAAGGATTGTCATCCAACTCCATCTCAACTGGTCGGAAAAACGCTTGCGAAGATGACTGTCCGCAGCTCCACTCAAAAATTAACTTCATCCGACCTCTGAATAAACCACAGAACAAATTTCCCTATGACGGGTCAGAAATCCTCACAGCAAATAACAACAAGATTCAAATAGATCCGAATAGTTTTGGTCCTCTGTTTCCATTCCCCATAGAAACTGATCAGATTTGCGGTTGTTTGAGAATAGGACATATTTCGATAGACGGAAAGAACACGCCATAACTTTTACAGAACTTGGATTGAGACGATGTTGGACTTTCTGGAAATCTGAGAGTCGGGGCTTTCCATGGATAGGTATATTGTCGCACAGTTCCATACTGTTCACCGGAAAATCGTCTATCAAAGCTGTAGTGGCGGCTAGGGTTCACAAGATGAAAAGCAAAACGGTCATGGCTTCGCCGCAGCAACACTCTTACCCTTTAAGTCACACTTACTCCTTTTTATATAGAGGATGATTTGGGTTTTTCATAAGTTAATGGGCTTGATGAGTTTTAGGAGAATACAACATTGATTTAGTCCAAATATTTAAGCCTTTTAAACAACCTTTTCTTATGGTCCATTTTCCATTTTCGATCCAAAAACATTTCCGAATAAAATTTTTAAAATCTTCGGAACACGGCTGTGACAAAAATCGTGCGCGTGAGATTAATGCGTGACGATTTTTTCTCCCAAAACTTCGCCGACAACTTCTCTTCCTCCGATCATTGGCTCGCCTCTCTGGTGGTCGGCTTAACCGGTGTCGTGAGAGGGCCCTTCTTCCCATCCCCTTCTGCTACTTAAATGGCTCCAATTGCTCTCTGATTTTCTAGGTTGCTCGGTTCTTTTGCGGTGAGTGGTCGGAGATCGCCGGGCTTGACGACCGCATCTGAGTGGTGGGTTATTTCTTGCCTTGCCTCCTGCTTTTCAATGGTGGTAGGTTGCGGTGGAGAGTAGCTATAACTTTTCCCTTGTCTCAAGCTTTATCGACCGGCGTTAGATCCAGTTTGTAGATCCTTCTCTTACCAAGCGTTTCCGGTGACATAGAAGTTCAGATTCAACACTGGAGCGACGTCTGGTTGCCATTTTTCTTCTTCTCCATCTCTTAACGGTTACAACATCTTCTAAGTCTCCCATGGAAGATCCGCTGCCCCTTTTCTTTTTCCAGTGAATCGGGTACTCTCGCCGTCAGAACGTCCGTTGTGGTCGGTTAGTCTCTCCGGTTGAGTGTCGCTTCTGTCGTCACCGTAAGTGAGAGGTAGTTCTCTTGGGTCTAGACTTTTGGGATCTCTAGTAGTGGAGATCGGATGGTCCCTTGTTGCTAGTACCACAATCCCTTTGCCTTTCTCTTTTGTACTAGTTGTAGGGCAATGTTTATGGTTAATGTAGTTTGGGTCGCAGTTTGACGATTGGTTCGGTTATTGTTCACTTTCGTCTAGTGAATCTGTTTATGAAAAATTTAGGTTCTCTGGCATTTGTGTTCATAGTGGCTTCTCGAATGTGAGATTTCGTTGAATGTGACGTTGTCGTTGACGACACAATCTTGGGCCACCTTTGAACGACTTCTATAGCATTGGTTTTTGCTTCTCGGCTCTCGGTTAGCCCCGCATTGTCAACACGCCGACTGGATATAGGAAGAATAAATAGCATCGTCATCACTTTGTCACAACTCCATTACCATTATGGTTATGTCGAGTAGGCGGACTGAAAAACTTCCATGTATTATGATTCCATGTTTTTTTTTTGCTGTGGGATCATTTTTATAGGATTTTGATTAACTTTGTAACCCTAAAAGTTTTCATTTTTAATGAAATATTTACAATTTAGAAAAAAAAAAAAAAATGAATGATACAAACTACAAACTTGTGTAATGAGACGTTTTCTAGGGGTTCCAAAAAGAAGACTTTACCATTTTTTTTGTTTTTGTCAAAACAAAAATATTAAATCTTGAAATTCTGAGATTATTTCTTTGTTCACCAGGTGTAGTAGGAGTTTGCTTGTGGACCACATTATATTTTCTACTTTTATATGTTTTGAAATTGCAAAAGCATTCCTTTTCTTACTCATTATTCATTAATGGAGATTCGTGGAAAGACGTTAATTATTTTGCTTTGTATGCTTTTGCCAAACCAACAAAATAAAGTCCATAACTCTATTGCTTTAGGTTCTTAATTTTATCCTAAATAGAATTATAAAAGGTACTTAGGTACACAAATGAAGTAGAAGCCTGGAAAAATTATTATAATCTAACCTTTAATTTGATATTTCGTTCTGATTCTAATGTAAAAAAAAAAAATCGGATAATCTTAAGTTTATAAAACAAAATGGATCCTAAAACCAATATAATACATGTTAGAAGAGAATGCAATTCACCAATATAATTCATTCCCAGCCGACTAGATATTCGTGAAAAACAAACAAAAAAGGTGACATTTCTACGTGCAAAGTGATTTGAGATTGTAAGATTAATTACTGCATGAACCCAAGAAGAAAACAAAACATAGTAAATAATGATTAATTATAATTATTTTATCATTCTCAGTTTTATAACTAATAAACCTGTAATTGACCTACTGTGTTATAACTATCCCTTACATTTTCATTATTGCTTTTTAATTATCACCCTCT